GATTGCACAAAGTGGGTGCTGTATTTTCAACTAAATGCTTCTGCATCTATATTCCAAAATAGGGAAATGAAACAACAGCCCTCAAAGTAATCACTCATTCTCAGTGCTTTCACTCTGGATTTTTATATGGACTGGGCTAACTAGTTGTTCTTTCAAACACAGATGCCTGAAATTATATCCTTCATTTTATCAGTTTTATTTGCAGAGGTATTAAAATCCCACTAGTCTCATTGACTGTTATTTCTGTTCACTTGGAGAATAAAACAGACTTTTTCTTTGAATTTAGGTAGGCACATATGGGAAGAACATCCTAGGGAATGTTTTATTGCTGGCATTGGCAATTAAATTTGAAATGCTGCAAAACTCTATCATTGGAATTATTAATTATGATATAGTATTGAAGACATGGAAATTATGATTAAAAAGTGTACAGAAATAAATTAATAAATAATTTTAAAATAATTCAGGAGCTCTTTATCCCTTGTCTGGACCATTTCACAATCAGTTAAAGGATGAAAAAAAAAAAAAAAAAGAGGATTGAATCACTCCACTTTGAATGATGTCTTCTACTGTTATAGAGGGAGACACCATTTGTAATGGACTGTGTCAAATCCTTGCGTGGAGATGGGGCCACAGCATGTAGGACAGACTGTTTCTGAAGCAGCACAGAAGCTCAGGATGATGGGATAGTAAGTAAAATTATATGGGGATTTAAAGATTTGAACCTTGTTCCATCTTGAATGTGCTGTCTACAAGTGAAGGGTGACACATCACTGAAAGACATCCTTTTTCATAAAGCAAACATGCAATCAGTTAACCTTATTTTGGTATATTTCTAGTGCTTTATTGCTCTTTTTCTTTGAACAAATCTTGAAGAAACAAGAGCTATGGGAATAGCTTGGGGATAGTAGGGCTCAAGAGAATGAGATGGTTTGATTTCTTGAAAAAAAGCTTAGGGGAATCACCAGGGAAGGGAAGGTGGGACTTCCATGTAACATGTGGATTAAGCAAATACAGCCACATATACCTGGTAGGTCAGGGTCAATCTTCTTTGCCTGTTGTCTTTATTGCATCAGAAGCACAGTACTCCCAGCAAGCTCAAACTCTTCTTTAGATGGTCTCTGTTGAGGCTGTAACTACACCTGTACATTCAACTTGCTCTTTTCTCACAAGCTGTTCTCTCCAGTTTAATATTCTAAGTCTCAGTACAGTTCAGTATTTTTTAACTGAAGTCAACTTCCTCTAAAACCTGTAATTTCCTTTTTAAAATATTTACAAACTCATTCAGTAAACACAACGTATTTTTCGGCTTAACATGATATCATCACATTGTAATTAGAACTTGAAAAAATCTGTAATACCATAAAGAACAGATTGCTGTGATATAAATTTTTAATAGTAATGATCTGCAGGACTGGATATTAGTATTGAACCTTTAAATGGATGTCTGAAAATGTAAGAAAATATTAGATTTGATGTTCCACTTAGTGTTATATTACTTGGAAAAACCTAAACAAGACTATTAGCTGACTAGCTTAGAAGTGCCATTTTCTTGCATTTTGCTGGCATATTTTTTACCTTTACCATCATTAAACATGTCGTCTCCTTGTCTCACAGTATTGCTAGAACAGAACTCCAGAAACACAGGCTTGCACTTCCTCAGATACTGTTGAAAGCAAATGTACATATTAAACAGAAATATATGCAACAATATCTAAATATAAGCCATTAGCCTGATTAGAAATACTCTGTTCCTTTAGAAGCACCAGGCTTCAACTCCAATATGTGTGGAACTGCAAGAGATTGGATCCTCTTCATTGTAGCTCGTTAGTTCAAGCTCACAAGCATTAGGACACCTACAGCTCTTAGCATTATGCAAGGGATCAGCACCAGGGTTAAATAAGGACTCAGTCAAGTAGTCTACTGATAATGTCACACATCTGTCATGTACCTCATCACCACAGTGCTCTCTCATTTATTCTGCAGTAACAGATAATCAAATCGCTGTACTGGGTCACACTAAAAGGTTAATTCCATGCAGGCACAGTTTTCAAAGGCCATTATGCTGCCACGGTTGTTAATGGCACTTGTGCCATTAACATCAAAAGCAATATTAAGCCAAAACCTCACCACAGGCTAAGGCCTGCTGATAAGACAAGTGTCAAAAAAAAACCCAACTCTTACACTGAGGAACTTAAAGTCTAAATAAAGAAAAGTCCACCTTTACTTGAAAGTAAATGAAACTGTTAGATAGTGGCTGTTTATCAAAGCAGGAAGGGACAGTGCACCACAGTGAATGCACTGTATTACAATATTATAATACAGGATGTATTACACTTTACACTGGGGCTGAGTAGTCACAGCCACTCTGTGCTTTTGTCCCATGTGTGCTGTCCCAGTTGATCAGGGCATCTGGAGTCAGAAATCAGCAGAAAGAGGAAAATAGCAAAATTATGGAGAATAAGAGACAGATGTTAAACTACAAACTTAGACTTCTTATTGTTAGATTTGTGTTGCTCCTTGATCAAAATACAAACAAGTACTTGGGCTTTCTTTTTTACCCCAAATTCCTTGCAGCTCATGGGGAACGTTCATAAGTTCTCCTTGCCTAAAACACACAGTGCCCATCCTTGAGACTTGGATTTTTTCTATTCATTCTCCAGCATATAAAATCTGAACTTGTCAGCTTGATGCTGGGATTCTTAAACTGTAGAGAAGAAATATTCCCCAAGTTGAGCAGGATACTCACAGAATTTCAGTACGTATTGATATCTCAATATTTGTCTCTTATCCTACCAGGTTCCATACGCTTTTTGTTTTTTTAAAAGCAAACAAACAAACAAACAGCCCACCACCAAAAACCCTCATCTCTCTCTCAGCTAGGACATGTATTTTAGTAGAAAGCTCTATCAGTGGGTAACTTTCTTGTGTTTTAAAGCTACAAGAAACTTTTTCTGATTTCAAATGATGTGTTTTATTCTGAAAAAAAAACATAAAACAAAAACAACTGGTAAAGATTTCAGCTATTAATAGAACAAAATATTTTAACATCTTTTGGAACACCCGTTGCACTGAGTACGTTCTCATAAAATTTCTGATAAATTTTCCTTTTTTTCCTCCTTTGCTTTGTGTGAACACATACAATAATATTTTAGGCCTTTGTTTTATATCAGTCCCTAGTCAAGAAAGCAATTTTCTGCTGCAACCTCATTTGCACATATCCATAATTTAAGGACAAAGTGTGTATGTGTTCCTAATTACCTCCAAGGATGTTTGATGAACCTGTGAAAATTAAGGAAAAAAACCCCAACCAGTCATATTGCAGTGAGAAAAATGAAGCATCAAAACTAAATCACCAAATACCTTAACATTGCATTTTAGTGTTACCAGACAATAAAATGTAAAATGTACAAGACCAGATCTTGTTAACACTTACAAGTTCAGAACAAAATAAATCTAATGTAAAGACTTTTTTTTTTCCCCCTTTGGTGCTGCTTAGTTTCTCTAGAGGAGTTTGCTATTAAGTAAAAGTGGTTTTAAATATTTGAGCTAAATAATGTAAAAGTGGGAAGCATTTTTTTAAAAAAAAGAAAGCTGAAGAAAAAAGCTTTCAAAAAAAATTATTGTTTTGCTGCAGATTTTCTTCAGATTACTTTCAGAATTTCCTGTAAGAGGCATTGCCAAAAGAAATTATTTTTAAAAATATAATTATTTTAATATCTCAAAATCACAGGATGGGTGAGGTTGGAAGGGACCACAGTGGGTTATCAGGTCAAACCTCCCAATATAATGGAGAAGAAATTTGAATAGCAAAATTTTGTCTCCACAACAGAAGGGGTAGGATCAGACTCAGATTATCTGGAGATGGGTTTAAGTGCTTACTGGGATCCCACGAGTGGCAACAGCATCTTTAGTACATGCTATCTATCCTTTGCATGCACTGACCCTCTCAGATATTGTTCAAAGTCTGTGTACAAAATGGTCCTTAATGAAAAGCTGAAATGATACATTCAAAACACTGCAGAGCAGTGAAATTCAGCAGTGGAACAGAACCAAAAGAATAGTCCATAATGAATACACTGATACTAACACTTAAAAAGGAGCTGTTCTATTACTAGCACCAAGACTAAGATTTGGCTGCGAGTTTATTACCACAATACATTTGGGAGCAAACTATCCAGGGAGTTTTTCCAGCAACTGGTTGGCCTTACTGCTTGAAATTACCCAATGGGTGTTCCCCCATGGCATCTCAGAAAAAACTGCTTAGAATCACCAAGGCAATTTCTCTGTCTCTGCACTTCACTGTGAGCTGGTAAGTAACTAAAGCTCATTTCATATACCAGCAACATGCAGCATGAGGCTTGAATTTTGCCAGCTATACTGATACTGCAATTAGTCCTCCAGCTATTTTATATCAAATCATTTAGGAAAACAAATAACTGGAAATGAAATCCTGATACAGCTCCAAGAACACCACAAAAATTACATTGTCTTAAATTTTAGGCTGTACTAATCTGGTTTACTGTGGCTATTGTATTTAAAATCAGGGGACACATAGGGGAGAAGAAACATAAAAGCTTTCTATAAAACATAAAGCTTTCTTTTTTTTTTTTAAATGTAGAATAAGCTTATTCTAAATGCCCAAGTCCACTTTTAGAGGGATATGATATGAGCAAAGGCTCAGAGATGATACATCATATTTTACCAGTGCAAAAGCTAGTCTGAAAGACAATGAGGACTATGCCAGGAAGAACTAGGTAGTGTATTGCATACTGTTTGAATACACAGTTCTGACAACATCTTTGAAGTCACTCCATAAAGACACATAAATAACATGCATCTTGAAATCTCAGAAAGTCCTGATATTGACCATAACACTGCTTCTTACTGTTAAAACTGACTTTTGACTAGGCAATGTCTGTAAATTGATCCCTCAATTAAAATGTTTGCAAAAACAAAGGGGGGCAAGTACCACTGATAACCCTCTGCCTTGCTTACAGATGAACTCCTGAAAGAAACACCTTTCCCACTGAATTCCACTTCTGTTATGGAGCCATTTTCCTTCTCAAGCTGGTTAAATGATCATCGTGGTGAAATAAAACAAAAGAAATCCTTGAGTATGTTTGGAGATAACTTTGAAACAGAGGTAACGGCGTATAATTTCTCATAAAAGATATTTTTAGAAGTATGAATAATTGTTGCCTACTGTTCAGAATGAGTGAATTTTGGAGCAATATATAGTCAGCAGACCAGGTTATGCACCCTTACAGAAGTACCTATCTTTGGTCCATAGATTGGATTAGTTTAGGGCAGGGACTTTCTAGCTCATTACTTCTATTTACAGAATTAACCTGAACTTTATTTCTGTTCATTTACTTTGGGATTAAAACAGGTCCTTCATTCCCCTGTCCCTCTCCCCATATTTCCCAAATCAGAAGCACCAGCATGATGCAAATACTCTTCAAGTATGTTCAGCTTCTTTATGTCTTTGAGCAGCATTTGTGGTCCAGGTCTAATCTCAGTGTGTAAACACACATTTTTTTTCCTCCCCCTCCATCTACATAAAGTGGAAACAAGGAAAACTGGACAACAACCAGAGAGCCTGAGCTGCCCTAAAACATTCCACTTCACTGTTTAGTCAAACACAGTCTAGTTTGGGTGTAAATGAAGCTGTCAACATTTGATATCTGTGCTGTACGCGTGATGTTTACAAAACATATTCTTCCCCAGAATTACTTGGAGTCGCACTCCGAAGAATCCAATAATGTTGACAGCGAAGTGACAGTGTGGGAATGTCAGGAGGAACACAGAGGGGGCAGAAAATGAGAAATATGAAGTCCTGTCTGCAGCGTTTTTAATGTTAATTGAAGAAACTTTTCTACTTCAACAGGCTCTTGACAGGGCCCAGAGTTCATGAGGAGGAAGTGCCTGTTCCAAGAACAGAAGCAGGAAGCATATAGATGCAAAACTGAGAGTGGGAGGAGGCAGAAGGAGTAGATAAGCGAGGATGCAGAGGAGCATAAGGAGTGGCAGGTGTGACCAGTTCCCTTTTTATCAGTAGGAATCAATATGAGAATACCAAACATAGTGTGAATTTTAATGTCTGTAAAAATAACGTCATCTTCTATGAATATTCTCCTGTAAAAGTAGAATGTTTTAAATGCTGTTGGAAGATGAATATGGACACTTTGGTCACTTGGATGAAACCATTACTTTTCTTGTTTTTATTTTTTTTCCTTAGGTTATAGCTTACGGACCAGGAACAACTGAGAAAAGTAAAAAGAATTCGGATATCTGGATATGGCAGCTGGTATGTGGCAATTCACACTTGTTAACTGATGAGTTCATGTTTAAGTTCAGACTGAACAGTAGTAAAGCCTTCTAGCAACAGAAACTGGAATGATTCCCTTCCTTCTCATAGAAGAGATCACCAATAAGCACCACCTTTCAGCTTTAAACTGTAATGAAAAATAACTGTAAAGTGCTGCCACAGTAAAAATAGCCCCGTTTTCCTCATCATGTATGTTGATGACAGTGATACTGGCATCCATCCTTGTTTGAATTTTAATGCACTCTACCTAGGCTATATCCTGTAAATATATGAGAATGCCTCCAAGTGAAAAAGCAAATCACCTCTTAGTTCTGCTTTGAAACATTTGTCCTCATCCTGAACTCAAACTGGAATCAAGTAGAATAAGCTAATAAAAAAGTCTGAAAACTTGTTTATACTAAAGAGAATTGTAGGTGATCCAGGTGTCCTTCATTCAACTTGCTTCTAGAATATGTTTGACACCCAAAGAAAAAGAAAAGCTAATTTTTGCTTACACGAGTCAGGCCAGTTGGGAAGCAAATATTGCTATTAGTTCCCCTTCTGTTGAAATTCACAGGCACTACCAAATACTAATTAAAGATTTCATAACCTTGAAAGACATTTGTTTACACTGCAGCTTACATCAGCCTGTAGAATCAAGACCTTGTGGCTGGCAAGAACCTGGCTCCCTTGCTTGATTAGATAATAATTAGTCTATTCCAATGTGGGGGGACTCAGCAACTTCAGTCAGCCCCCTGCTGACTTGTGAACTGCTCTTCAAGACTTAAAGAGCTATGAGGAAGCAGAAAAGTAGAAGAGGAGTTTGAATCACTCCAGAAGATTCTCTCTGTAATTTCTGGAGCTGTACCAACTTGTAGGCTGCTAGGTTAGGCTGGAGGCAGTGTAGCCCAAGAATCAGGCAGTGGGTTGCTGCTTTATGATGGGAAACAATGAACAATGAAACATTTTTATTGATGCTAACAGTGTTAGGCAGACAAGATCAAATGAATATGTAGCTAGACCTCGTGAAACAGAACAGGTTTGAGGTGTTCTTTCTGTAGGAAAGATTTCCCTATGTGCAGCATTTTCTTTCTGCTGGGGACAGGACATGAAAAATTAAAAGCCTTCTTTCCCTTCAGGAGGGCAAATCGACTGTTGCCGTGGATGGCAAAACCCTGACTCTCTCTGCTGGTGACAGCCTGCTTGTCCGTGCCCAGTCTACGTGAGTAGAGATGAACAGTGGTTCAGTGCGTGATTCCCCAGCTTCCAGCAACATAAATTCTATGTATTGAATCCACACCATGTTGGGCATCACTGGTGCAGAAACACAGCATCTGTGAATGCAGGATTTGCAATAGCCTCTGTTATTTCTTGGGGCAAAAGTGTTTTCAGGAGGAAAAGTCAGACATTCATTCTAGCTCACCTCTTATGATAAAAGAAAGAAAAACAAAAAAGAAGGAGAGAAGCACTAACAGGAAAACGCAGCATGCAAAAGACAAAAAAAATATGGCCTGAAACCACCCACTGGCACTCACAGCAGATGATTGAAGCATCAGACCAGGCTTAATCAACATCAGTGCAGGAAGATTTGGGGTTCAGGCTAAGAACACAGCTCTCTTCCTGGAGGAGGATGCTTACAGCTGTTTCATAACCTTGACACACATGATACACATAAAGGAAAATAGCCTCTAGAGAGAAAGGAAAGGAAGATATAGCATGGCTAAAGCTGATAAAGTGCCCACTCCTCCTTTTCAATATCATCAAAGTTTCATTTGTTGGTTTTAGTGTGCGATTCCCCTCTATACACATTGCATCATCTCTTTCCATTCTTCCAGGTACTGCTGGAATAGAGAAGAGGAATGCGTTGCTCTCTGCATCGCTCAGGATCCAAAACGCAAGCAGCCTTATAAATAACTTCTGTGTCAGTTGGCTTGAGGATAACCAAGTTTTAACCTACCAGTCTTAATTATCTTTTACTCAAAATTCCTGGAAATTTGAATACCCTAACACAATGATTAAATGCAGTCAAGTGCTGTGCCAAATTAAAGCTTTTCCCCCAAGTAGTTAAGTCTTAGCAAAATTTATAATCAGTATTTTTTTTTTAAGATCTAGTGGTTTGTTTGATTTTATCTAAAGGAAATGACAACATATCCAAGTAGCAGGATTGCTTATCTAATAACACATGATACTATCTACAAGAAATTAGAGGCTTTGGAAACGTAAGTCTCGGCCACAAGAGGTAGAAAAGGAGATGGGACAGGTACTATGATACTACTTGGGTAACAGTGTTTATTTCTTTGTATCAGATTTGTCATTTGTAATAAGCCAGTAGGACCCTAGCTACCCAGCTCAGCTTCCAGTAGGGAAGCTTTAATTGGCAATAGTTCAGAGGTCCTCTGAGATCTTTGGCTAAAAGTTTGCTCAGTTTTTTTAAAGGCCTTATCTGCTGCACTGCTTGAGAATCTCAGTGCTTTGTGAAAGAGAGGAAGGCATATCAGTAAAAGGGGGAAGCTGTACCTGCAACAACACCAGGCATCACTTAGACCACTTGCTACAGGTACAAGTTATTCCCAGTTTCCCAGATCCAGCACAGCAGTATCAATCACAGTGGTCAGCAGTACCCCACACATGCCATGCTGGATGCTGTGTGCATACTACACTGAACATAACACTGCAATGGGACTAAACAGGAGCAACTGGTTCATGGATGTGCTCCTGTGTAGCAGAACTCTCAAGTCAAATTAGCCTTAAGAGGTATGTTAGGGGATAAGAGAGCAGAAAAATTATTATAATCAGTTTCTATTAACTGCTGTTTCTTTTCAAACAATAAAGTTTGTTGCAGAAATAATACAAATTACATTTACAAATTACATTTTCCTGCTTTTATTTCAAGAACTCTGCTGAAAAGTTTTTGTGGGTTTTTTTATTTAATTATTCTTCACATTGTCAACCTCAGAAAACACGTTGCTTAGATACCTGCAGGTATTACCAATTAAATATTTGAGAAACCAAAAGTTACCATTTCCTGATTTTATTTTTTTAATTCTAATTAAGTTCAGAAAAATAATTGTTTAATCTATCACCTACAAAGCTCATTAAACTAAGACATCGTATGTGTTTTATTGAAGTGTTCATTCTTCTCATGAGAAAGACAGATGGCTTGGCTTTACTATATAACTTCTATATTTGACATCAGTAGCTTTTCTAGGCAAGCATAGAGCAAAACTCTGCTACATCCTCCTAATAACAGGGGGACAATTCAAATAATAACAATTCAAAAAATTGAACCCAGTCCTTAAGGCTGTTACAGGTGTGAGCTGTGACACACAAAAAGGAGCTGTATCATTCCTTTTGAACAAGGGAGTCATTTTTTCTGATTACCATTGGTACAGATGCGTTTATGTGTCTTCAGATTTGACTGCTCAAGTGAACATCTATGATTAAGGGATTTAAGGTACCAAAGTGTTTTATTTTCAGTCCAGCAGTTACAGGGTAATTACAGAAATATTTCCATATTTCACACTGAATGATGAGTAAAACACAGCAACATGTAGAACAACATCCAGAATAACCAGCAGCTCTTCATCCACCCAGAGGCACTGAAACTATGGAACTTCCAGAATAAAAATTAAGGAACCTCCAGATTAGATACCTCCCATGATATAGTATTAAGGCTCCACTCAAACTATACTTGTGATGCCTTTCATAACTTGTACTTGAACATCTAAATCCTATCCCTATCACATTATTACTAGGTGCCAGACCAAGAGCCCTAAACCAGAGCTCCATCATCCTCAGTTTTGCCACAGCCCATAATCTGAAACCAGGACCTAGTAAGTCATCAGTTCATTTCTGTTGACGAGCTTCTGTCTTCTAACTACTAGGTAAGAGGTGTTAAGGCCCATAAATATGGAAAAGAATCAGGATCAAAACAACAGGAGATTTACAAAAACAGTTAAATACCAAGTACCAAGAGAAAAGTGGTTTTTTTTCTAGTGTCTCTTTTGAGAACTATTTCTGTTGTTTTGATGTCTAGTTTCTTTCCCCTCCTACCCCCTCACTATCAGTTCAATACTTATTTGTGGCAAGAACACAAATGAGAGCAGAGTACCTGTCATTTATTCCTTCCAAGGTGATTAACCACTGTGATTAAAAAACCTGCAACTTCTCTTTTCCCAGGTTTTCAAATAGTTACAGAGGGCTTCTGGACAAGCAGTGAATCTTTTTCAGGTGCTTTACTCTTCCTCTGTATTGTATCTGTTCTAAACTGCCCCAACAATTGTACATGTATAATTAGATGCACCCATGCTACTCTGCTCACAAGGAAGTTGGCCACATGCAAGTCTGGCTCCTAGAACCCTCTCAGCTCTTAAGTGTTCTTTCTGTGTATGTGCAGTCAGCTCAGCAGATACTTCAGCACCAAAGATGTTGGGATCAAGGTCTGGAGACTCCAGTGCTAGCCTTGCCTCCAACAAGGATTTCAGGCAAAGGTCAGTGGCCAAGGCTTAGTTAGGCATGTTGTTTGCTGAGTGCCCCAGTGCACCCCTCTTGACGTTGTGCTAGTTCATGCATGTCCATGAAATACACCTGGAAAAACCATGTCCTACAAAATCACTGAGATTCAGAAAGACCTCCAAGATCATCAGATCCAACCTTTGATGGAAGCTTGTCAGCTAGACCATGGCACTAAGTGCCACATTCAGTCATTTCTTTAACACCACTAGTGGTGGTGGCTCCACCACCTTGCTGGACAGTCCATTCCAATGCTTAACAAGGCTTTCTGTGAAGAAATTCTTCCTTATGTCCATCCTGCTTCTCCCCTAGAACACCTTGAGGCCATTTCCTCTCATACTGGTTGTCTAGGAGAAGAGAGTGACCCCCATCTCACTACAACCTCCTTCCAGGCACTTGGGGAGCACAATAAGGTCTCCCTGAGACCTTCTTTCCTCCAGGCACTCCTCATGTGCCTTAGACACAATGCACTTTATATGATTTACACGTATACATGACTGCCTTTCTTTACAGCTCCTTTTACACCTGGTACACCAGATTTGGATGTTCATTTTCTATCTGAATCAGACAGATATTGGGACACCTGATACTTAGTAAACTTGGTACATTTTGGCAGGATTGTGCTAACCTTATTAGCACAGTATTGCGCAGACAGACCATCTGCTGTTTGACGCTTCTACAAGGCTCAAGAGTAAAACCTTCATACAAATAAGTATTCTAAGCAGTATTACAATAAAACCAACACAGATACAAAGGTATATCTGCACCATTCTTGGTAAATTATTACCTTTAAACACATGCAACACTGTCCAGACTCATAGGCTTGAGCTGACCTAAAAGCTAAGAAACGTACGCAGAGAAGTTTGAGCCCACCTGCAAGCAATCACGGAGTTATTCCAAGGCAGAATCTCACCTAGCCTAGAAGTCAGCAGGAGTTCCCCCTTTCACTTTGAGTGGGAAAAGGTGATGCAGCCCAATCCTGCCAGCTGTTGATTAAAGCAGCAATAAAACAGCAACAGTACCTTTAGAATGTTTAATCCCAATTAGATCACTGGTAAGCTTTGTAAAAAAAAAAAAAAAAAAAAAAAAAAAAAGGCTAAACTACTCCTTTTTAGCTATAGATATATTATATAGATATATTATATATATAGATTTCTGATTTTTAAGCAGTTAATATATAGAGTGATATAAGCATTATTACAGTACTTCACATTAAGCAAGCAACTTACAGTTAGTCTTTCAAGTAAATTAGCAATATAGATCAAAATATTTGAAGTAATTATGTCTCCTATTACTACTAGGCTAGGCTATTGCTACAGGCTTGACCTCATGGGGTACTTATTGTTTGTATTTTGAGCTATGCTGACTTACATGAATGATGTAAATAAATTTGTATGTCTCACTGTATTCCTCCTTATTTTTGTCTCATATTCCAAAACTTAAAAATAGTTGATTAACAAGGTTACATGAATAATGGTACTTTCTATAATCTTGAAAAAGTCCTACAAAATGCAAGTTCATGCAAAACATGTATGTTGATGGTTATGAGGGATCTACAAGAGAAAAGAGTGACACACATCATGTAGTAAACACATCTGAGATAACAGAAGAGCACAAGATTGTCCAATTAAAAACCACAAAACCAAAAACACCCCACAGAAGAATTAGGACAAGATAATGATCTAATGCTATCTACATCTGAGCTTGCAATACATAAACTAACAGCTTCTAAAAGTCAATAGAAGAACCCTTCATCCTCTGTGCTTGCTCTACTTTTAGATCTTGCTTGTTTATTTGAAGTAGCAAACCCTACCAGAGGCATAAAACTGACTAGGTGGATCAGGAAATGGGTAAAATCCGGAATGTTGTAATAAAGTTTTTCCTCAGACCAATAGAGTATTTACTTCTACCTGTAAACCAATCTTATCTTACTGCATGAAGATAACAAATGCTTTCATTCTGTTGTTAAATACATTAATTTCACTGATTTCAGCTCTCCAGTCACATCTAATAGAACAGATGCAGAGAAAGCAACCCTCCCACCATCTTTGCATATAAGTAAAGGAAAAAAATTACTTAACCTATTTAACAAATTCCTACATAGCCAGCTTGTGTTCATAACGGAGACATTTCAAGGCTTTGGAGTGTTTTTATTTAGTTTAATTTCAGTTAATAGCCCAGATGCACCTGAATGAACATTTCAGGCTCATGAAGGCCATCACCTCCTGGTGTGTTTCTGATTCAATACACAAGTACTTGTAGACCTACTCTTCAGTATCGAAAGATGCAGAATAACACTTAATTGGACCCAAAATAAAATTGTTAATTTTTAAAGTAATAATGAAGAAAAAAAATTTAATATCTAGCCCTCAGCTCACAGTAATTATCTCAGCTACAGATCTTAGCACTGTCTGATACAGAAAGATCTTATGCTGGATCCAGTCAGTAATATTTTCAGTGATTTTCCAAAAATCGTGGAAGTGAATAAAAATTCTTCCTTTTAATGTCACTGGAATTTTGATGGATGCTTGACAGCTAGGGTGGTGTTTACATACACAGACAGTTTGTATTCCAAAATAGGCCCTAAATTAAATAAAATTGTGAAATAGTTAGGAAAATCACTCCCAATGCACACATGAAATTCCCCTCTGCAGCCGTCTCCCCTTTCTGAGGCCTACAAATGATAGAACAATTCTTTCTAAATTGCTGTTGCTCTAGATTAAATATATCTCCAAGATCTTTGGCCTGGTAATTCAGTAGAAGTTGCTTGACAACCACATACTGAAAGATTTGAATACTGCTTTGTATTTTGAGAGTTGCTAAATAGACACATGTACATGACCATTACAGTGCTATATAAAAAATTCTGTCCCTGGTTTTGGACATAAATTACACTGAAATTGAAGGATAATTATTTAGGTTCTAAAACCACTTCATTATAAAATCTCATAAGCCTCAGAGAAAGATGTCATGACTATGACAAAGTAAACTAAGCATAAGCACATTTGGAGAGTCAGTGAGGAATTTGGGTGTATCTTTATTACATCAAAGAAAAATAGGTACAACTGTAGTAAAAATATTATTTAAACATGTTTTAACACTTCTTGAAGAAAAAAAAAACTTAGCTTACTTAGAGTGCAAAACCAAAGCACACAGGTGATAGAGTTTTAAAGTTTCTACTTTACAAACTGTCAGTGCAGAAAAACTTCTCTAGACGATAAGTTGCCCATGCATTCAAACCATACACTTTATAGTCTGAAAATAAATTTGACAATTCAGTTGTGTAAAGCACCTAAACACATGCCAATTTGTAGAACTGAAGCTTGAAAGCTTCCATATGCAATTCCCAAATACCACAGGGGTTTGATATGGAAATGCAGTCATTGCACCTTACCTAGCTTTTTGTTAACTGCCTCTTCCTCCAGGGATACCCCAGGGCAGCATCTGGATTCCATGCAAAAAGGAAACTTGGGCACCTCCAAATAGGCTCCACAGTAACTGCTGGGCTGAGCAGAGAACTGCACTGACAATGCAGCTGCCCACAGCTGAACCACAAGGAAATTCCTGGGGGGTTGTTTACATGCCATTCCAATACACACTCTACTCTCAG